GTTCAAATTATATTAATATGTAAAGACCAAGTGTAACTTATATCATCGTTAAATCTTCTCTAATAAAACCAATGAAACTTTAAAATCGTTAAAATTCACGGCTCATGCTGCATTGCATGAGTACACAACTAGTATTTAATTATTTCCATCAAACTTTAAAAAAAACCATGTGCTACTTCTTTTAATTTTGGTGGTTATGATATGGTGTGGTGTTGTGTGTATATGTGGCCATACTTGTTATTACTTTTTGAACCTAACCGTCAACAAAAAAATGGATTAAAACATTTTTATTTTTACAGTTTTAATTTTACATTTCATTTCGAAACATAATATCATCGTTGAAATTAAACCCCGATTCATTACATTTATAAATGTATATTGTTTCGTTTTCGACTCCAATTGATCAAATCAACCTACGGACTTCAATCCTTGCTGTTAACAATTCAATCATTTAACAAACTGCTGGAACTCGTTTATCAGGAGCTCGAGTCAATCTTGAACACAAAATATAAAATCTAAACAAGTTAATGGATTTTGAGTCGAGTATGTCCATGTATTCATAAATCATGGAATCAAAATATAATAATTACAAACTAATTTTCGTGCTCAAGTCAATAAACGAATTAAATGTTTTCAAGTTTGGTTCATTAAACGAGCTTATAAAGCTGAATTTTAGGTTATATTGTTGAACTCAAAATTGTTAAAACGAGCATTCGAGCACTAATCTGAAATCATCCGAATTTAAATATGATAGTATTTTTCTTTGCTGAACCCAAAACCTACTACTCGATTTGATTCGTTTCGTTATAATCCTAATTCAAAGATTTCATTTGATACTTAATTTTAAACCACGAGAAACATGTATACTTTTTGTATTAAAATAAAAAGAGACAGTTAAATAAACATCTCAGCTAATTAAACAAGTCTTATCAGTGAATTGATGAATTTCATATTACTCTTTCTTTCATTAAATTATATATAATTAAAAACTATATAATTAGGATTCAAGTTATCCAAATTACATTTTACTTAATACAACTAAAAATAACAAGTAGTTAAATGATTT